TTAGCCTTCAGGTTGTGTTCACAGACAGTAGTTCTGTGAGTAGTTATAATTTTAATGCATTCATGGGAGGAGGTGAGTTCATGTCTTCCTATTCCATCAGCTACCTCCCCTCCTATAGCCTACGCTTCTATTTGATGCCACTCTGTGGGGTCTAAACTGTCTTCTTGGATTCCCTTTATTTTCTAAATATCTAAAAAATGTCTTTGATTATTTAATCCTCAGTACATCATGATAAAATATAAGCCACTAGAGAAGATTTCCTGAGCATTCAGCTTGGTCTTTCTGGTCTTTAAGTCAACCTCATGGGGTCCTGGTGTTGTCTGGCTCCCCAATTAGACTGAGTATGTAAGGAGGATGGGATCCAGGCCTCACTCACTTTTTGGGTGTCCAGGATAAAGCAGGCACTGTATGTCCATTAACCTCTATGTCTGTTAATTGAATTTTACTATCTTTAATGGACCGAATCAGTCCATTAGAAAAAAAGGCATGATCAATCTATATGCTCGGTGGAGGAAAACTGTAATCTGTTTCCATCAGTGTTTTTGAAAACAGGATCAGAAACTAACTATGGATATAAGAATTATGGGCTTCCCTGGTGGCTCAGATGGTAAAGAATCTGTCTGCAATGCAGGAGACCCAGGTTTAATCCCTAGGTTAGGAAGATCCCTTGAAGAAGGGAATGGCTACCCAATCCAGTATTCTTGTCTAGAGTTCCATGGACAGAGGAACCTGGTGGACTACAGTCCATGCGGCCAGAGTCAAACACAACTGAGTGACTAACATACACACATACAGGAATTGTAAAATAATTTCACGAAATACTTGATTTAAAAAGTCAAAATTATCCTTTCACACCAAGAGCACACTAAAACTCAGCCAATTCCTTTTTTGGCGGGCAGTGCATATATTCCTCACTAAGGCCTTCCCTGGTGGCTCAGCAGTAAAGAATCTGCCTGCAATGCAAGAGACCCAGGTTCAATCCCTGGATTGGGAAGATCCCCTGGAAAAAGGAATGGCAACCCGCTCCAGTATTCTTGCCTGGAAAACTCCATGGACAGAGGAGCCTGGCGGGCTACAGTCTAAGGGGTTGCAAAAGAGTCGGACACCACTTAGCAGCTAAACAATAATATTCTTCACTGATGGTAAGTGTCTACCTTAAGAAATAACAATAGACACCTGCTGAGCACTTTGCTTGTAGTCACCATTTTGAAAAGCACTTTACCTAGTCACTCTCTGAGGCAGGTACAGACAGTCTGACTATGCTGGTCTTACACAATTTTTCGACTTTATGATGGTACAAAAATGACACCCATCCGTTAGAAACCACACTGTATTTTGATCTTTCTCTGGGCTAGTGATATGCCCTATGACACTCTCATGATTGTGGGCAGTGCCGGCCACAGCTCCAAGTCATGGGATCCCCAGGCTGAACAACCGATATGCTTACGAGCATCCAGTACACACACAATTCTGGTTTTCATTTCCAGTACAGCATTCACTAAACTGCACCAGCTATTCAACACATTATTATAAACTGGGCTTTGTGGTAGGTGATTTTATTCAACTGTAGGTCTATGTAAGTGTTGACAACTACAAACTGGCACTTGCCATCTACCTCTGCAAGGAGTAAATCGTGAGCTGCTGCAGCTGCTGACCTTCAACACCCTCTGAAAGGAGCTCGGGCGAGAGCAGAAATGAGGCACTCAGTAGTGAGGTAGTGGGGAACTGGCAGAATAGGTTTTCAGACCCTTAGATATTTTCAGAAGCCGATTTTATCAGCCCAATTCTTGTAACTCCTCATATCTAGAAAAACATTTAACATTCTTTATGGTGAGGAATTCTCCTCGTGACTAGCAGAAAGCTTCTGAAAAAAAAAAAATATGTGCTTGATTGCATGGACTACCCCTTCACCAAAATTACATATATACTGACCTTCCCCCTACTTCTTTGGAGCAATTCTCTGAGCTGTCTGAAATACTGTCTCCTGAGCCATAGTACTCATTTTGCCCCAGGCAAAACGTCACTTACAACTCTTACACTGTGCTTTTTTTTTTTTTTGAAGTCTACAGTGTTCTGAGCACATTTAAGGTAGGCTGGGCTAGGCTATGATATTTGGTAGGTGAGATATAGTAAATGCATTAAAAATTTTTCTTTTTAGCTGTGCTGGGTTTTCGTTGCTGTGTGGGCTTTCTACTCTCTAGTTGCGGTGCCAGGGCTTTTTGTGGTGCTGCTTTCTCTTGTTGCGGGAGGTCGGACTATAGGGATGCAGTCTTCAGTAGTTGTGGCACACAGGCTTAGCTGCTCTGAGGCATGTGGGATCTTCCTGGACCAGGAATTAAACTCATGTCCCCTGCACTGAAAGTGGATTCTCAACCGCTGGACCACCAGGGAGGCCCTTAAATGCATTGTTGACTTAACAATATTTTCAACTTACTATGGGTTTATCAGGATGTGACCCCCATCGTCAGTCCAGGAAGATCTGTGTTCTTACTGTCCTTGCTTTACAGATTAAAAAAACCTAAGGTTTTAGAGATGATATTGACACAATTTAGTAAGTGTTGGGACTCATGTTTGCACCCAGATAGTTTGAATCCCAGAACTCAGGATCCTGTAATTTTGCTCAGTTGCACTTAAAAAAAAAAAAGTTTCCTTTTAGAAAGAGACGTTCAAAAGTAGAAAATTAAAATAGGTAGATAAGTAGAGAGAGGGATTAATGTTTTTCCATCTGCCCCTGTCTTACCTCTCCTCACTGTCTGAACCAAATACCAGGTTGCTCCTTCCCAGCATAAGGCTGCTTGGAAGACCTAATTCCACTCCCGCCCCAGCACTAAGTAGGACTGTGAGCTGAACTTTCTGTAAAAATCAGACAATTTCTGCTTGGAAGAGATGTCAAGAGAAGTAGACACCATGAACATTCTAGAGCAGACTTGCCAAGGTGGTAAAAGCCGCCCCTAAGTGGCCTTTCTCACCAGGTCCTCTACTGAATTTCCCCCAACTCTGTTCCAATCCATAGACAGTCAACTCAACTTTGAAAAATATATGTAGGATGGCCCAATTTCCCCCTATTCTGCCTTTTTTGGATTTCTGACACCCTAAGAGGCCTGGCACAGACTTCATTTCATCTCTTAGCCCAGACACACTTCTTTAGACCTGGAGATGAAGCTAGGTCACAGCCACACTTTTCCTACAGAAAGCAGGCTTGAAATTCTGTGGTGGAAGAAGCAGAGCTTCAGGCATCATCGGCATTCTTCAGGGATGCTTTAGGCAGTAGGCATTGTCTTATGACCCCAAGTTGGGTGACCCCTTTTAGCCAGGGCCCTGAATTCACCTTGAACTTACTCCACTGTTTTTGTGGGCTCGTGGGGTGTCGGAGAAGGAAACGGCAACCCACTCCAGTATTCTTGCCTGGAGAATCCCTGTGGACAGAGGAGCCCGGTGGGCTGTTGTCCATGGGGTCGCACGGAGTTGGACACGACTAAAGTGACTTAGCAGCAGCTGCTTGGTGGGGTGTTGGCGTTGATTTTAGGTGACATTGATTTAAAAATGCCAGAATTGATGAAACTGAGGAGGGAAATTATGCCATTCCATCATGGAATCATTCTTACTATTAATATTGCAATTAATAGTTTCAATTCCTGGAGGTACTTTCATAGGAAAAACCAAAAACAGAAAACTAAAACTAAAAATGTTGGTTACACAGTTCAAGGCTTGTCCTCATTGTATCTTTATATAACTGGATAACATTCACTTAAAAATTATCAATCTTTTTATTCTTTTCTTCTAGATCAATTTGCCTAATGCAAGACAAATCCCTAGATAATAAATCTTCTAAATAGGTTTCTGGAAGACAACTTACCATATTTACATGTTTCTTTTAATCCTTTAGTTTACTGAACAGTTTTCATTGACTATTCTTATCAAAATTTTAAAGAATGTTGGATTTCTCTGTCTCAACTTTTTCTGCTGCTGCCTATAAATTTGAAATAAAAAATTCTTAGAAAAATAAAAACTGACCCTTTGAGTGCTAATGATACAACATATAGAGCATGAGATTAATTTTGTAAGTATGTATGTATTACATGCATTTCCACAAGTAAGCATACATATGAGCCAAATATATGAAAACAGTGGTGTTAGTACCTGTTGAAATTATAGGTCATTTATTTTTACTTTTTAGTCTGTTTTCATTTTCCACGTTTTTCAAAGTGAGTGCATATTTTTTTGTAATACTAAAAAGGATTACCACAGGAATTAACATGTATTAAACATAACAAATAACTTTTGGAAATAGACCTGAAAATTTAAACTCTGCCCCTCACCAGCTGTAGGACTGGGTAAATTAAAGTGATCTAACCTCTCCAACCGAGCTGGTTTTCTCACTTGATACACGTGGACAGTAAATTTCTTCTTTGTTAGGACTGAATGATGCCACATGTAGGAACTCAGTTCGGTTCAGTTCAGTCGCTCTGTCATGTATGACTCTTTGCGACCCCATGGACTGCAGCAGGCCAGGCCTCCCTGTCCATCACCAATTCCTGGAGTTTACCCTAACTCATGTCCATTGAGTCAGTGATGCCATACAACCATCTCATCCTCCGTCGTCCCCTTCTCCTCCTGCCTTCAATCTTTCCCAGCATCAGGGTCTTTTCAAATGAGCCCTTCGCATCAGGAGGCCAAAGTATTGGAGTTTCATCTTCAACATCAGTCCTTCCAATGAACACTCAAGACTGATCTCCTTTAGGATGGACTGGTTGGATCTCCTTGCAGTCCAAGGGACTCTCAAGAGTCTTCTCCAACACCACAGTTCAAAAGCATCAATTCTTCGTCGCTCAGCATTCTTTACAGTCCAACTCGCACATCCATACATGACTACTGGAAAAACCATAGCCTTGACTAGACGGACCTTTGTTAGCAAAGTAATGTCTCTGCTTTTTAATATGCTGTCTAGGTTGGTCATAACTTTCCTTCCAAGGAGTAAGCGTCTTTTAATTCCATGCAACTCAGGCACATTCAATAAGGATTGTTTCTTTCGCCAGGGAACCGAGCTCTGAGTCCGACCCTTCATCTAAGGCTGTGTCGCTATAATCCCGCCTCCCGCGGGCGCTGCAGAGGGGCGGGCCAGGGGTCCGGGCGGGTTCGTGGCGGCTGCAGCTGCCGGGGCTGAACCGCCGCCTCCGTTCGCCTCCGCACCTCCGCTGTTGGGGTGACGCCATTCCCCGCCGGCCTCGGAAGGATAACCTGTAGTCGCTCCCCAGGCTCCATGACCTCTCGGTGGGTACAGCGGGGAGGCCGGGATCCGCAGCTGGGAACTGGAAACTGGATGGCACCCTCCACTCTCCCGGGGTGGCGGGGAAGGCGCGCGGGCGCCGTGGCTCGCAGGGCTGGGGTTGGGGGCGCGGGGTGGGCAGCCTGGAATCGGAGGAGAAAGCCACCGGGTGGCCTGGAGCGGGGGTGGGGGGGCGACGCCAAGAGGTCTATCAGGGTCGCAAAAATTCGTCCTCTCAGAGGGCTCTAGCCAAGAGCAGCTGGGTCCCGGGGCAGGGACTGGGGTGGGGGGTGCGGCGGAGTGGGCCACGCTCAGGGCTCGGGGCGCGCGCGCGCGCGGCGGAGTGGGCTTGGTCCTAGCGGCCCGGAGCCCCGCGCGCCTAGCGCCCCCGCGGAAAGTCTTCCGCTGGTTTCTTAAGCTCTTCGTCCGCCCCCTTTCCCTCGGTTTCCGCTTACAGCCCACTCGGATGCCTGGAGCCGCCGGTCTCTCCTCCAGGGGCCCACGGAAGCATCAGCAGCACCGAAGGAATAGGGGGAGGCTTGCCGCCGCCTGGGGCCTCTGGGGGCGCTGCGCTGGCTCAGGGTGCTGGGGCGAGGGTGCTTTGGGGCGGGGGGGGGGGGGGTTCCGAGCTATTTCCCAAAAGTCTCCGGGGATTTGCGGCCACCAGGGGCGACCTAGTGGACAGCGAGCGTCGGAGCACCTGGAAGCCTGCGCTAGGGTGGCCGGGGGAAGCCGGAGTGCGGAGGCTTCATAAAAAGGCGCAGCGCCTCGTGGGGGCAGTTTTCGGCAGAAAGTAAGCTCTGCGTGAGCTTGGAATAGTCACCTTCTTCCTTGTCCACCGTCTGCTTTATGCTCTTCCAATGAGCGTATTCTTTTCTCGGATCGCCCTCCTTGACGTTTTCCATCCTCCCTCGAAAAGGATGCCGCGGGAAAGGAACATTCGGATAATTTAATATTCATAAGTTGGCGTCTGGGGAAGGTTCACCTTTAAGCTAGTGAGACTTGAGCTTTCAAGAAGCGTAAAATTCGCAAAATTAAGATTCGTCCCCCACCCCCAGCCCCGTCTTTCTTAAAGACGCCCCTCACCCCACATAAGCTTCCTGCTCCACAAAACCTTGATGCACCTTTGGCTGGAGTCACTGGAGGTAAGAGTGTATAGGGGGATTTCAAAAATGCGGCTGTTAGCAGAAGGGAGAGAACTAGAACTTCCCCTCACCGGGAAGGGAGTGGCTTTAGACTAAAACGGGTTCAGAAGCCCGTTTGTCACCTGCTTTCTTTTCTCATCCCTGCTTTTGGTCCTTTATCGTGCTTGCAGTTAGCAATATTTTTTTTTAACTTTTTATTTTGTATTGGAGTATAGCTTATTAACAATGTTGTGATAGTTTCAGGAGTACAGCAAAAGGACTCAGCCATAGAACAATACTGTATGTTCATACTGGAAATTTTGCTAAGTGAGATCTTACTTTAAGTGTCTTTGTCTTATGCAAAAAAAATAAGGGGGTGAAGGGAAACTTTTGGAGGTGACGTATGTGTGGCACAGACTGCGGTTTTACCAATGTATGCTGCTGCTGCTGCTGCCTAATCGCTTCAGTCGAGTCCGACTCATTGCGACCCCATGGACTGTAGCCCCCCAGGTTCTCTGTACATGGAATTCTCCAGGCAAGAATACTGGAGTGGGTAGCCATTCTTTTCTCCAGGGGATCTTCCTGACCCAGGGATTGAACCCCCATCTCCTGCATTGCAGACAGATTCTTTACCCTTGGAGCCCCGAGGGAAGTCCTGTATGTCAATCATACCTTGGTTAAATGTTTCATAAAAGTTAGACTCACTGGTCTAAAAACTCTTTCCATATCAATGGTTTAAAATGTAATTCTGTTGACAGAAATGAAGTTTCAGAGACCATATTAAAAAAGCTTATTTAGAATTCTTGACTCAGGCAGTATCTTTTGGTAGGAGGGCAGTATTGACTATTTTCTCCACAAGCACTAGTGTAGCTGTCTTATCTGTATTATTGAGTCATGAGTTGTGACACCATGTTTGCTAGACAGAATAATGACTTCTAAAGATGCTCACGTCCTGATCTGCAGAGCCTGTGAATATGTTACCTTACGGGGCAAAAAGGGACTTTAGGGGCAAAAAGGGACTTTATAGATATGATTATATTGAAGCTCTTGAGGATGAAAGATCACCCTAGATTATCTGGTAGGCCCAATGTAATCACAATTTGATGCTTGCTGCTGGCCCTGAACTGAGGTGTGCGGGTGACTTCCAGAAACTGGAAAAAACAGATTCTCCCCTGGAGCCTTCAGGGAGAATGTAGCCCTGTTGACACCTTTATTTAAGACTTCTGACCTCTAGCACTGTAAGATGATAAATTCATGTTGTTTTAAGCCGTGAAGTTTGTGGTACTTTTTTCACAGAAGCAATTGGAAACTAACTTACCCGAGTCTCTTCTTCATGTCTGCTTTTCTCACAGTTATGTATCAATCATACCCTTGGCTTTTTTAAAACTTTCAGTAACTTCAGCGCTTTCATACTCTCACTTTTAACATCTCCTCCTCTGACCATCTCCTTCTGTTTTTCTAACTCATTTTCTCAATTACTCTATCTGGATTCCTACAGTTTTGACCCCACGAGAGCCCTTAATTTTTAAATTTTACACCTTTTCACTTTTCCATCTCATGTCTTCTCTTTACCCAACTTAAATTTCTTGTTTAATTATTGTTTAGAAGATTTATTTTTGGCTGCGCTGGGTCTTCGTTGCTTTATGTGGGCTTTCTCTAGTTGAGGCGCGGGGTGGGGGGTACTCTTCATTGTGGTGTATCAGGGTGGCTTCTCTTGTTGCAGAGCACATGCTCTAGGGCTTGCAGGTTTCAGCTGTTGTGGCTCGGAGGCTCTGTAGTTGGTGAGCTCGGGCTTAGTTGCTTCAAGGCATGTGCAATCTTCCTGGACCAGGGAATGAACCCATGTCCCTTGCATTTACAGATGCATTCTTATCCATTGTGCCACCAGAGAAGCCCTGTGTTTAATGATCATATCTGCACTCTTGCATAAGCCTTCCACATCTTTGCCCCTTTACCGTCTTGTTATACTTGGTGAAACCACAACCCCCTTTAAGTTCATCTCTAATGCCTGCACTTGCCAGCCAAAAAAGCCTGAAGGAAAACATAGCACCATGCTCACTGATCTGCTTTTAGATTCATAATTACCAGCTTTAAGTCCTTATCTTACTTGGCCTCACTGTAGCATTTGACTCAGCTGATTACTTTTTCCTCCCTGAAATACTTTTACTTGGCTGAATATTTGTGTACCAACTTCCCCTGACTTTTCTGATAGCTCTTGAATTCAATCTCCTCTGCTGATTCTTTTTTATCTATCTGCCAGTGGATTGAAATACATCAAACAGGTGAAAATTCATAATGATATTGCAAAAGAACTCATTTAAAAAACTTGGAAGTTTTTAGCACACCAAATAATTATTAGGAAACTGGTGGAAGTGTGAAAGTGTTAGTCACTCAGTCATGTCTGATTCTGCAAACCCATAGACTTTTAGTCCACTAGGCTCCTCTCTCCCAGGCGAGAATACTGGAGTGGGTTGCCGTTTCCTTCTCCAGGGATCAAACCTGGGTCTCCCACATTGCAGGCCAATTCTTTACTGTCTGAACCACCAGGGAAGCCCCTTAGAAAACTGGTAGATAAATGTTTATCCTGATTTCTCTTCTCAAGCTAAGTTTCAGGGTAAACAAATAGTTGCTAGGAAAGTGTTCCTTCTTTTATAAGAAGTCCCACTAGTAAAAGTAGAATGTTAGAATTACAATATTGCCATTTTGTGATTCTTAATAAAATAATGAAGCTAGACAGTATCAATCAATGGCTCCTAAAGCCATCATATGAAAGTTTGATGGAGAACTTTGAAATAAATTGGTTGGCCTGAAATTCCTAGTCAATTTTAACTTTATCCAAAGAGGACAACTGGACAAAATGTACCTCTTAAATGACACAGTAGGTGTGCATGTATGCTCAGTCATGTCTGACTCTTTGTGACCCCATGGACTGTAGCCTGCCAGGCTCCTCTGTGCATGGGATTTCCCAGGCAAGAATGCTGGAGTGGTTTGCCATTTTCTCTCCAGAGGATCTTCCCAAGCCAGGGATTGAACTCACATCTCCTGCATTGGCAGGTGAGGATTCTTTACCCCTGAACCACCTGAGAATCCATAGTAGGTATATGCAGCACTATCTATTAGGTATTGTTGCCAAAAAAAACTCAGACTCAAGCCTTAATTGAATCCAGATTCAGTTCTAACTACTAATTTAGAAAGGGGCATTTTGGGAATGTAGTTAATCAAATCAAGAATGCTGGAGTGTTTCATAGGAAATTATGATGGAATTTCTTCAGTAAATGTCACGGAGAAAGAAAAAAGGTGTTACAGGTGTAAAGAGAGGGGAACAGAGTTAAGAAACACATTGCCTGTCTTAAGCTGGGCTCTCTAGAAAGTAAAGGCTAAAGCCAGAATTTAGATGCCAATAGTCCCTTTGGGTTGTGCAAGCTCTGGTGATTAGGAGGCAAGAAAAGATAGCAGAAGGAAGACAATACACAATGTGGTGGGATGTTATCATGCTGCCTCTGCCTTAACATGAGTGGGGAAGACACACAGCAGATGACCCAGCACGGTGGGACTTGACTCGAGTTCTCCAGCTGGAGCTGGGGAGACACCACACCTTGCTGAAGAATGAAGAGGAAGTTTACTTGCCAGGTTCCCTGATGTCTCCGTTTTTCATTGGTCAAATTTCCCCTTTCAGGAGCCTAACTCTTGTTCTTGGGTTGTTCCATCCGCCTCTCAGGCTTTTCAGGATGTTAGATCCCATACTTGGTGGGCTGGCATTTCACCCAAGACCCAAAGTGGCATGCCAACTAAGAAGGAGAAAGGAAGGTAGTTGAGGACATCTAAAAAGATGCTTAAATTTGTGTCTTAAAGCTGTTTACCCCTTTTCTCACGTAGATACTCTCATACCTTCCCGATATACCCAGCTCTCAAACCACAGTAGGGGGATTCCCTTTTCTTCCTTGGGAACAAACAAAAATGTCCTCATTCTTTCTATTTCAGGAGAGGTTCAGGTCCAATTAGCCATAGATTCTTCATGATCTAGAAAAGGAAGCAGGAGTTAAAACAAATAACATTTCCCACTTATGTGGCTAATCTCAAGGCTGTCAAACAGGTTCTCAATGTTGCCACCAGGTGGAGCCATTGAACCAGGCGGGTTTCCTCATGCCCTGAATAAGGATGGTGGATACAGAACCAAATATGTTATGAGATAATTGGTGTAAGGAAACTTTGAAAAGTGTTTCCAATTAAAAGTATACTAATTAGTAAAGTGTTGTTACAAAAGTGCTGTTTTCAGAATTTTTAGGTTTTGTGGTGGGGTGAGACAGAAACAAAATACATTAACATTTTATTGAGTATAAATGATTTCTTTTCATATCATGTCAATAGCACTTAGAAGATTATGTGTCTTTCCCTGTGCTAGGCCTTGGAGCTACAAAAACAAGACATCAAAGCACTCATAAGCCAGTCAAGAATAAAACACATGCAAAGGCGATTACAGTATAGTCTGCCAAATATAAAGAAAAAGATTTTAAATAGATGTTGGAAGGTGGAGAAGGACCCAGCTTTAGGGAGAACTCTCCAGGAAGATTCTCAGATCAGATGACATCTGAATTGATGATCATTTAATTAAGGAGAACAGCAGAGGAAAGGCACAAAGGAACAGAGTGACATGGATGGGTAGGTGACCTCTTATGAAAAATTCATCATTTTAGGGAGCATAAGGACACAGGCTGGGAATGGAGGAGGACAAAGATGGGGACTGAGGCAGAAGTCCAATCACTAAGAGGCTTGTGTGCTGT